AGATACAAAGTGCAGAAAAAGGCCAAGGAGGTGCAGAGATACAAAGTGCAGAAAAAGGCCAAGGAGGTGCAGAGATACAAAGTGCAGAAAAAGGCCAAGGAGGTGCAGAGATACAAAGTGCAGAAAAAGGCCAAGGAGGTGCAGAGATACAAAGTGCAGAAAAAGGCCAAGGAGGTGCAGAGATACAAAGTGCAAAATAAAGTCTCATATTCTGAAGCAACAGAAAAGGTATCACTAAACATAGCTAGGAAATCCCAAGGAGCAGCAAGTATATTCTCTTCAAAAGATTTTCCCAAACTCCCACAGGCAAAGGAAAGCTCCACAAAGTGTTCACATAAGTGTGTGATAGGAGAGGATGCATTGATTGTTAATAAGTACACATGTGTGGCCTTTATTGGAAAAGTGGTGAATGTTGCTTTGCAACAAACAAAAAAGAGGTCAAGACTGAAAACAATAGTGGAAGCAGTCGGTGCATTTTTGGGGATAAAGGATATAACGGTTGAAATGATACATGATATGCTAGCCCCCAATAATGATGATTCACAGATTAGTGAATAGATTGATGGTTTTTCTCATTCTGCAGTGGAATGCTAGAAGCCTTATTGCAAATGGACAAGAATTCAAGACCTATATATATCAGTTAAAAGAAAAACCAGACGTTATTTGTATTCAAGAAACATGGCTGAAGAATCATTTGGACTTCATTATTGGGGGATATAGTGCTATAAGACAAGATAGAAATGATGGTCAGGGAGGGGGATGTGCAATCTTTATCAGAGAAATAATGTCTTATAGTAGGCTAACATTTAAGAGCAGTCATGATTTAGAAATAGTGGGTGTAGAAGTTTGGATTAATAAAAGGAAAATTAGTGTCCTGAATTTTTATAATCCATGTAATAAACTCAAAATAGAGGAATTAGACAGTCTTTGTCAAGGAAATGAAATAATATGGTGTGGTGATTTTAATGCACATAATACAATGTGGGGAGGGAGATCAACAGATTACAACGGACAGGTGGTGGAGGACTTAATGGAGGCAAAGGAATTAGTTTGTTTAAATAATGGGCAAGGTACAAGACTCAATTTTAGAGATGGAACAGAGTCTGCGATCGATCTAACTCTGGTAACAAGTGAATTAGCTTCTGGTAGCAGTTGGGAAGTATTGGCAAATAACAGTATTGGGAGTGATCATCTTCCGATTATAATCAAGTTTGATATAAGTAATGTGGTTGAGCTAGACGGTATCATGAGATGGACTTTTTCTAAAGCAAATTGGGAGATGTTTGCTAAATTGTGTGATAATGAATTTGATCAGATTGATATGGCAGGAAGTATTGATGATATAAATGAGCAATTTACTTCAAATATAATTAAAAGCGCTAATCAATCTATTGGGAATAAAACTGGTAAACTTAGTAAATGTGTTAAGATGGCAGTTATAGACCTATAGCTCTGACATCGCACTTGTGTAAAGTTATAGAAAGAATGATAACAGAAAGGCTGACATACTACGTTGAGAAAAATGAACTAATGACTCCTTATCAGAGTGGGTTTAGAAGAGGGCGGAGTACTTTAGATCCACTGCTGTGCCTGGAATCTGAAGTTAGGAAAGCCCAAGCGAATAAGGAGTGTGTTGTAGCTGTATTCTTTGATGTGGAAAAAGCTTACGATATGATGTGGAAGGAAGGATTATTAATAAAACTGGACATTATGGGTCTGGGAGGTAATGTATATAATTGGATTATGGATTTTTTGTTTAGCCGTGCCATCAGAGTCCGAGTTGGCAATTCTTATTCTCGAAGGCATGAAGTTGAAAATGGAACCCCACAGGGGAGTGTAATAAGTCCTCTTTTGTTTTCTATCATGATAAATGATATATATACACAAGTAGGATCTGATATCGGTAAGTCACTTTTTGCAGATGATGGAGCTATTTGGAAAAGGGGCAGAAATGTAAATTATATTGTCGGTAAGATTCAGGAAGCCATTACGGAAATTGAAAGCTGGTCTCTGACATGGGGGTTTAGATTGTCGGTGGAAAAAACTGAAACTTTATTTTTTACGAGGAAAAGGATAGGTGAGGAGGTTAGGTTAAAACTTTATGGACAAGAACTAAAGAAAGTGAAGACATTTAAATTTCTGGGAATATGGTTGGACGAGAGAGTCACATGGAGTACTCACATTGATAAAGTAGTAGATAAATGTAAAAGGGTTTTAAATGTTATGAGGTGCTTGGCAGGCACTAAGTGGGGGGCTGATAAAGCTGCTTTGAGGAACGTATACACAGCTTTAATTAGATCAGCCATAGAATACGGACTAATAGTGTATGGTTCAGCTGCATACTCTTCTCTTCAAATATTAGATAGAGTCCAGGCACAAGCACTAAGGATATGCTGTGGGGCAGTCAGATCTACACCAGTGTCGGCACTTCAGGTAGAGGTCGGAGAAATACACATTTTTTTGAGGAGAAAACAGTTAATTGTTAATTACTGGGCAAATCTACAGGGCCATAAAGATACTCACCCTACTAAACAAACTGTAAAAACAAGTTGGGAAAGTAACAAAATGAAAAAAGAAAGTTTTTGTGTTTGTGTTTCTGAATTATGTAAGGAATTCAAAGTTAAAGAATGGAATATTAGTCCGACGGTGTTGTTATCAGCTGTTCCACCATGGTTGCTACCTCAACCTATAGTAGATTTATCTTTATTGAAACGGTTACATTCAATGAAAAACAAAATTAATGTACAGGCTTATGTGAATACTGTTCTACATGAACAATATGGGCAGTTTATACACATATTTACTGATGGATCCAAGAATCCAGAAAATGGTCAAACTAGTTGTGCATTTTATGTTCCTGAATTAAAAGTAAAAGTGGGAAAGCGGACGAGTGATCACATCGCAGTATATACAGTAGACAGGGTTCTTACACCTTTTCCAAAGTCAAATTCAAGCACTTTTCAAGCATTTTCAAGGTGCATTTTCAAGCTTTTCAAGCATCTTACAGCTGTTGTAAATTACATATTTATATACACATACTTATACTCAAATGATTATTTCCCTACCTCACATTAAATCAGATGTTCTTTATGCTATAAACAACCAAATGTGTGTTTCATAATAGCATTCTACATGAGGATGAAAAATTAAAAATGTTAGAAAAGAAAACTAAGTTTAATATTTCAAAATGAGTGACCCATCTGTACGTAGACTGGGCATCCCATATAACCTGGCTGAGCCAATATAAAACAATCAGCCAAATAACTTTTCAATATATTATTGATTACTATTTTTGAGGTACTTTTAGGTTGGCAGTAAACATAAGTCAGAGGTAAATGGTGTACTTTTCCTCCACTACATGTATTTAATACCTTTAGTTACTTTACAGATGTGGATGAATGATGTGAAATATAATCAAGTGTCAAATCATCTTATCTGTTGATCATCAACTAATGCTTAATGTAATAATCAACTAAACTCTAAAGTTGCTTATCTGTTGATCATCAACTAATCAACCCCTACCTCACCGACCTGATCCACCAATACACCCCTTCCCGCAGCCTTCGTTCATCAAAAGCGAACCTCCTCTCTATCCCCACACGAACCAAGCTCCGAACCTGGGGGAACAGAGCCTTCTTCATCGCTGCCCCCACCCTCTGGAACTCCCTTCCACAACACATCAGAGACTGCACCGACCCCCCACTTTCAAAACTGACCAAAACACACCTCTTCAGATTGGCTTTTAATTTGTGAATTATGTTGTGTTGCTGTTTTAATATGTTTTATTCTATTTTATCTTGTTTTATCACCACTGTAAAGCGTCTTTGAGCACCTGAAAAAGCGCTTTGAAATTAAATGTATTACTATTATTAATGCTTAATGTAATAATCAACTAAACTCTAAAGTTGCTTATCTGTTGATCATCAACTAATGATTAATGTCATCTTTAGTTGACATCTTGACTCTCAACAGATAGTCGACATGACCCTGTTGACTTTCAACTGACAGATTGATTTTGAGTAGTTGATTGTCAATTTTGAAGATGTTGACACAATCTACAGATAGTAAGGTTGAATATCGGTTAATAACCTGTTGCAAAAAACATGTTGACAGTCAACAGAGACTTTTTGTAAAATCTATAGATCAACACTTGAGATGTACCTTATATTCTACTGGCAGTTAGTTGAATGCATGTTACTTGTCTGTTGAAACAGTGTTGTTGAATGTCAACTGATGACTTATAGAGTGTTAACTATGGACTATCAAAATAAAGTGTTACCGAATTCTTTATATTAATTATCCACAATCAGAGATGGGGTCGTAACTCAAAAAAAGTAATATATTACTTATTACTTTAAAAAAAAGTAATATATTACTTTACTTCGTTACTCTCTACATAAAGTAACATGTTACTTTACTAGTTTCTTTACATTACTTTTGCGTTACTCAGCAACAGCCTATAGCCAAAACTTAAAACGTAGGCCTACATGTGCACACATATAACAATTACTATTGCAATAAGGAAGAAATAACACAAGTTAATAACGGTGAAAATTCTAGTTGTTGCTGCTTGTTCGGAGACGGCACTCACTCAACATCATCACTCTGGCTTCGGGGGTCTTTAGCTACTAGCTTCGTGTTACGGCCCGTATGTCGGGGGTGGGAGATTCATGTAATTGGTTGTTGGTCGCGTTGCTCGCAAAAAATCTCCAAGCTTCAGATACGCCCACCTCTAAGATTTTTTTAACGCTGCTGTGTGGACGCTCCGTTAGCATGTTGCCTCTGCAGGTGCTTGGAGAGGTTTGATGTTGTTGTGTTTGCAGCAGTCCACCTTACCGTCACATTCTTGTCCTTTCTTCTGACAGATTTAAAATAATGGGCATACCTCCACCCCTCGAAAGTAATAGCTGTTGATGTCTCTGTCTCAGTCTGCAGCTCAACCCCTGTGACAGCTGCATGTTAAATAATTAAACATTTTGACTCAGTTCTGTTAAACTCACAGGCAGGTGGCAGTAGTCCATAGCTGCTGCTCCGCTTCACAGGTTGCAAATCTTCTGACACTAAAAGAAATCCGAACATTCACAATATATTTCATGAATACTTTAGGAAGCATTGGTTGTTCTTTTTAAATGACGTCAATATATGTTGTGTAATATATCACAATAAACAGCATATTCACAGAAATGTTACTAAAGTACAAAGGTTAGAATTCTTTATATTAATTATCCACAATCAGAGATGGGGTCGTAACTCAAAAAAAGTAATATATTACATATTACTTTAAAAAAAAAGCAATATATTACTTTACTTCGTTACTCTCTACATAGGGTAACTTGTTACTTTACTAGTTTCTTTACATTACTTTTGCGTTACTCAGCAACAGCCTATAGCCAAAACTTAAAACGTAGGCCTACATGTGCACACATATAACAATTACTATTGCAATAAGGAAGACATAACACAAGTTAATAACGGTGAACATTCTAGTTTTTGCTGCTTGTTCGGAGTCGGCTCTCACTCAACATCATCACTCCGGGTTCGGGGGTCTTTAGCTACTAGCTTCGTGTTAGCATGTTGCCTCTGCAGGTGCTTGGAGAGGTTTGATGTTGTTGTGTTTGCAGCAGTGCACCTTACCGTCACATTCCTATCCTTTCTTCTGACATATTTAAAATAATGGACATACCTCCACCCCTCGAAAGTTATAGCTGTTGATGTTAAAAGTTAGACCTATCACATTTACCAATCTTATCTACCCATCTTATCTACCCCTGGAACTAGCTAAACTAGTTATACATGTTCATTATGTTCTGTCGTGTCGGGTGAGTCATTACTGGATCAGCGGGCTGGCAGGGGAGGCAGGGGAGGGAGGGGGGGGAGAGAGAGAGAGAGAGAGAGAGAGAGAGAGAGAGAGAGAGAGAGAGAGAGAGAGAGAGAGAGAGAGAGAGAAGAGAGAGAGAGAGAGAGAGAGAGAGAGAGAGAGAGACTCTCCGTTGACTGTAAACTTCTGAATAATGTAGTAACTACTAGTCTAGTCTGTCAAAGGGAGAATCTAGTAATTTTTTCGCGCAATGTTAGTAACTGTAGTGTGATTACTGAATTTATAACAGTAACGCGTTACTTTGTTACACCCAACTCTGTCCATAATAATACATTCTGAACTCACCTGTTGATGCTGTCGCCATAATGTCACTGCAGGAACAAATCTACTTCAACTGGAAACCAAATGCTTGGTTAAAGAACCTAGGGAGAGTTTGAAAATAGTTTTGGTGTTAATAAAACAAAACATGCTCTTAACAATCTTTGTTTTAGAGACAATTTTATTTTTCGAAACAATGACTTTGCCTAAACTACTCTATGTTTCTATAAACTATAAGTGAAAAGAAGTTTGGTATAATCATTAGGTTTGACGATGAGTTTGCTTTTAAAAAGAAATAATATAGGCTACCAATCTATGTTTTAGTTTTGTATTCATAGCTATAGTGGTGATGTTAGTGGTACAAAGTTAATGTGTTACGAGTGGCGTACCGTGGGGCTTTAGACAGGGCCTTCCGTAAACAATTGAAAAGCACATACAGCACACACTCTTTACACATCTCTGTTCCAGCCAACGCAGCCATAATCTAATAATGCGCACATAATGCCAAACAGTCTCTCCCAACATTGATCAATAAAGTAATCTATTATTAAACTGATGTCATTGTAGGCTCTAAAATGCTGAGAATAGTAATGTACTCACCCGTCACTTGTAAATAAAGTCCATGCTACGCAGTTTGACTGCCCGATTTGCATAGCGGAAGCGCGAGATGGTCCGGTAGGACAGGTAAATACGGCAACACAAATAGGACATTTGACTGAGTGGCGTTTCGCAAAGCAGAAAAAAACATTAATCTGAACGAGAGATGAGTTATTCTTATTACAACGTAACTTCACTATAACAACTCCTTTTAGTGGGTTAAATAAATTATTTGAATAAGTGAGAAATGTATTTAACTTCTGTTAGACAGCTCTCATATACTGAAGTAATATTTACTGTGATCGTATGCAACAATGTATGGCGTTAATAATTGATATCTAATTACATTAACTGTGAATGTCTTTCATTTTATTTCAAATTAAATACAATTACATAAAAGATTTTCCATAAAAAAGTTGATTCAAGAACAAATCTCTGTTATTAGATCAGTATTTTTCTTATATGGCAATTATTGTCTTTACCAGCTTTGGAATTATATATATATATATATATATATATATATAGCACCTTCTGGCACCTCCTCGTTCATTTGTAGAGAGGGTGGGGTGAAATTCACCTTTAGAGAAGTATTCTCTCAAATGGTTGTAAAACACAAAAGTCTTCATTTTGTCAGATGTATAGATATTTGAGCAATGCAAATCGGGCACCCGTTTAAGTTTAAGACTTGCCCATGCGCAATGCAAATTGGGCAGCCATCTAGACGTCAAGTGTCCTATTTGGGTTGCCGTATGTAGCTGTACAATATGGCGGACGATCTCGTGCTTGCGCAATGCAAATCGGGCAGAGATGCAAATCGGGCAGTCACCATGGGTGTATGGCAGTCACAGGGGTTTCAGTCGAATAGTCAATTTTACTTAGGAACCTTCCTAACCGAGTGAAATGACCCGGAAGTACCTCAGTGGCAGCCATGATAAGTGCCGTTCGAATTCTCTAGGGTTGCGGTCAGGCGCGCCGGATTCATTTTAGAAGTGGGGGGGGGCAAAAAAGTGCGTGTGTATGGCCCAATCCCAAACCACGCCCTACACCCTACCCCTACACACTCCCCCTCCGTGACGGAGTGAACTCTGTGGAGTGACACATGAGGCTCCCTCCTGTCAGATGGAGGGAGTAAATACAGCGGCAAGCTTTGGGACAAACTCCCCTCTCTCCGGCAGAAACAGGAAATGCCGTAACTAACGGTATCAAATCAGCATCTCTTTGACAACAAATGTAAATTAATAACTAAAATAAAACTCCAAACATCTCTAATTGTGTTACTTTTTTGTAAAGCTCTTTTAGTTTTAAACCTGATGTTTATAAGTTTCTTAGTTTTTGCAACAGTCTGTAAATATACACAACTTTATAATAAAATGCACACATTTACCTTTTTCTAGACTAAACACAGGTAGATTCTCTGTTAAAAACATATGAGGTTATCATGAGGTTGTTAACATCGCAGTTTATCAGTGGATGTTTGCTGGAAGCACAATAACTGCATGTTTTGCATTGCTTTTAAATGTGAGAGACTCCCGATACATTAGATTTATAAGTTCATTAATTGTCTCATGATGCATATTTCCCGGTGAGCATGAAGCTCTTCAGAGTGGGGTTTTTCTCAGCTACGAGTTCTTTTGGAAATTGCTCTCCTTATCCGCATGCCCCCTGATTGCTAGGCCCTGTCGGGTTAGAAACTGCAGACAGCGCAGTTGCTCCATCATTCCATCTCTTCTTTTTTCCTGCTCAATACGCTGTTGTTTGACAAGCTGTATGTTGACTGGTGTTTGACTGAAGAAAGCGCACTTTTTTTTAATACACTCTGTGGAAATGAGACTTTTCGTGGCTGTCCAGGAGGCTTGGGCACTTTTTCCAGTTATTAACTCCGGTATTAACAAATCTATCATCTCCACATTTTGAGAAAGTTACAAGCCGTTTGACAGCAGCAAATCTGCATATTTCACAGAAGGCCCGTTTAGTGGTTTTGCAAAGAATTAACCACTCTCTGTTTTTGTACCATTCTGCGTAGAAGTACCTTTCTCTTTGCCCAGACGATCTAGCGGTCAGTTAGCTGCAGCTTTACCCGTCTCAATGTCCCGACAACAAACCTCCATGCAGTCGGAACCAGCCTGTTTCGGTTCAACGACGGTGGTGGCGGCGGTTTTGACAGTCTCTGCGGCCGCAGAGCTGCTGCTTTTGGGTTCATCTGGCTTCGCTGGTTCTATGATTGATGAAGGTCCAGGCTCCGGAGACGTGGATGTCAGGGATGTGACCTTCCAGTTGTTAATTTAAGTTTAGATTGACTGTATTTAGTTTTCTTCTGCGCTGGTTCTTCTGACTTGTTTGCAAGTGTATCTATTCTTTCTTTCTAGGTTAACGGCTGACACACACAGAACAACGTGACAAATAAAGTAAACAACGTAACGAATAAACAAATCTAAGCTTTTTTATTGGTTGTAATTTACATGGATACATTTGAATGGTGTGACAATGTCCTATTTGATTGGGTTAAAATGTACATATTCTTCCTGTTATGTCTGCCTGCTTTATTTTACCTAATGCAAAGTGACCTGCTCCATCGAAATCAGTCGCATTGACCCGAAGACACATTTTGAGTTGTATACACTATTGGAAAGAGGAGATTCATAGCTTTCTAATGATATCAGGATTGTTGTTGTAGGCTACTCCAAATATTAAGCAAAATATGTCACATTATATAATGACTGTTACAGAGTCATCATTTTGAGAAAAAGGCCTTTAAAGTTTCCTCTTCTCTGGATCGATCTGATTGATTATTAGCGGAGCAAATGATCGAAATAGTACGAAGGGAAGATAGGGGAAGCCCGCGAGTGTGTGTGTGTATATACGTGTGTGTTTGTGTATTTTTGCATTTGTGTGTATTGTGTTTGTTTCCCGGGGAAAACACTCACGAGAAACACCGGCTGTTATGCCTGCAGTGACGTAAAGTTACTCCGTTGCTTGTAATTATGCCGTTACAAGCTTCAAAGTTGTATTTATCATCTGGATTTGCCGAAACAAGTTTAATATTCTGAAAGCCAAGACTTTGTTTATTTGAAATCAGATAAAAACAAACTGTAACGGACCCTGCCGTGTTATCTATGATTACTATACGCCTTACATTCATAATTTCAGCAGAGGGAGGGGAAGCGGCGCTGTGGAACAGCAGAGTGGCGAGTGAGAGCTTTACAAGCTTAAAAAATGCCTGTAGCTAATGAGATTGAATATAACAATCAAACATAACAAAATATACACAGCTATATCAGATCGCGTTTTAGATGCGACTTTAGAGTAGAGGAGAATTATTGAAACGGGATTTGTACAGTGTTCCACGGCATCCGCCGCTGCGAAAATGTGGGGCAGGGCTGAAAAGTGGGGGGGCCAATGGCCCCCTGGCCCCCCCGCTTCCAGCGCCCTTGGTTGCGGTCGAATAGTCCATTTAGCTTAGGAACCTTCCTAACGGAGTGAAATGACCCGGAAGTCCCTCAGTGGCAGCCATGATAAGTGCCGTTCGAATTCTCTAAATGAAAGGAAAGGAGGTTTCAAACTTCCTTTATAACCTCCTTTAGCTTAGGAACCACTGGACCTCCCTAACCGAAAGGAGAGGAGAAAATGCTGCCCCACAATGCCTTGCGGCCGCCGCATTTGCCGTCACACAACAGTCGGCCGTTCACGGAAACAACCGATTATGAACGAGAAATGATATCATGAAAGTTACGGTGCTTATTAAGCATTTTAAAACGTATGTGGTAAGTTGCCAAAGTGCTTTGTTTTGAACGTTCATCAATATTATAATCAAAAAGAGAAATATGAACGTTAGTTTTTACTGAAATGATCAAATAAAGTCAACATTTCACAGTCTTTACTGAGCTGTGTGGGGTTTGTTCAACTTTTAAAATATGTTTGAATGGTGATATACACAATGATAGATGTTAAGGACTAACGTTTATAATAAATACATTTGTATTGATTTTAAGATCTTTTCATAGTTCATACAATCATACGTATTGGGATCATTTGTATTAATGTGGACCGGAGGGAGAGGGTGACGAGCATAAGTTTCACTTTCCTTTTTTATTTCAATTCCAACTTTGGTCATGAAGAATATGTTTCTCTGTTGTCCCCGTTCATAAAGCATAAAACAACAGTATCAGAGCACGGTGCAGAGTCTCTAGATGAGTTTACAGTAGTCCCTCGTTCTTATTAAACATCCCTGTTGTAGTCCGCTGTATAGAAAACTGTAGTTTCCATAGTTTCCCCACAGCAGCAGACGCACATTTATGACCTCCGCTGGCGCATCATAAACACGTCGGATAGTGAAAGTGCAGTCGGATTCTCTAAAGTCTCTTCTCCTAAATCCTTTTGAATTCTCCTATCCACTATCCCTTAACCCCGTGACGTTTCACTCAGAGGTCAAGGAATAGACGATAGGGTTAGAACTTAGGAGCTGATTTTTGGACTATTGGATGGGCAACTTGGATGGTGGTGGGGGCCACATCATTTATGTACTGGCCACCAGGGGGCCGCAGATTCACTTGGAACCAGTGTTAATTTCGTCAGCGAAAACTATGACGAAAAATGTTCGTCAACGACCTTTTTTACATGACTAAGACGAGACGATGACGAGCTAAAAATAGATTCTTGATAACGAAAACTATGACGAAATGTATATTTAGTTTTCGTTGACGAGACGAGACGGGACTAAGGTGTTAATGGTGGACTATCGGACATTCAAGCATATTTTCCCCCAAGTGTCTATCTTGTCTGTCAAAATGCATCTTACGTTTCTAACTTGCAATATCATTATTTCCGCTCTCTTCACTCCAGAAGAGCGATCTCCCTTGTCTCTCTCTCTTGCCCCTTTCACACCGGCGCTTTTTCCTGTTTACACCGCAGCGGCGCCGCGTCATAGCTCCGGAATGCGGTTCACTTCCAGCTCCAAAAAATTGTCGGTCTAGAGGCAAGAGCTTCGGAGCTATGACGCGGCGTCGCTTACGTCTCTCTTACGTCGAGGCGTGCAGGAAACTAAACCCACCTCCCCTGAAAATGCGTCGACTGAAGAGTCT